TTTTAACATAACTTATTAGTTATTTCTCCCACGTAAATAAATGCACCTTCAATACTTGACATTTTCTAAATTTTAAATTGCGACTTAAAAATTTGCTACAAACAAATAAAAGCCATATATTTTACTTAATTATAGAGAACTGTGATTGCATAATTTAGTCCTCAAGACCCCAGGTAACTGATCCGATATTGTGAAAATATGATCTCTGAAAGTAGAATATGCTTGACAAATAACGATAACTAAAAGGAAATATTTGTTGTTTTTTTCCAAGAACTCGAGTACTGATTTTAGTATTCGATACTCGGACCTTTCAACGAGCACTCGAATAACCAGTTACTCATTGACAACTCTAATTAAAAAACAATTTATTGATTTTTTTAAACCATGGACATACTTTCAAACAATACTTGTTTTTTGTGATCAGTTTTGCATTAATCAGACTATTTGTTGTCGATAAGCAAGATAACTCATTAAAGTCATTCTCTAAGCATATTTTGCATGGAGTTACCTCCTCCCAGAAAATAGTAAAACTGATTTTAATAAAAAAAAATCTGTATTTTCCTTAGTTGATGCTAAGTTTATTATTGGAAATTGACAATTCTTTTTCCATGCCTTTTTTTCGAATACCCCTTTTGTTCTCTATTCTTTTTTCAAATTTCAGTTTATGGTCTCCTTACAATTTTATCACTTCATAACCAAGACTCATGAAAAAAACGTATCTCAGTGGCTTATTATTTGGCTGTTGCAATCTATCTCTATCACTTTTCACATTTTATTTGCCTTTTATATTGCTAGACATGTGTTTATTTATGCATAAAAATATTAAAACATTGAATAGTACAGTTTTTTAGACGATCTCTCTCTCTCTCTCTGTGTGTAACGGAACCGAGCTAGAATAAACATCAACACTCTAATAAGTTTATTACGTTACATATAAGTCATCAAACAAAAGTGATCGTATAGATTTAAGAATTTAGAAATAATGTCCAATTAATTAGAAGTAAAGTCTTTTCGACAAACTAGAAATGACGTCTCAATCAAGCCCAGGGGAGGAATGTCCGGAGAAGTAACGATCTCCAAAGAGTCTCTCAGTCTATCTGTAGCGGTCTCTCCCGGTTCCTCCTTTTTACATGTATACCGGAGATGTTCGTTCATTGCTCCGGTCTTTTGTCCGAAGAAAGAATTTTGAATGCGGCTTTGTATTTGATGTAGGTAATTATAATATTTAAAAGTAAGTTAATCTTTTGATAATTCAAAGTTGTAGTTCCACATCGAAGAATAAATCTATATATTTGTCATTTCTTTTGTAGAAGATGGAAAGTCTATTTTCATGTCCATAGTAATTGTAATTATAAGGTACGATTTAATTCGGGGTTGACTTTTGATAATTGAAGTTTATTGTCCTCCATCCAGAAACTGGAATATGTTTTTTTCTGTTTTGATCATGTTTCCTAGGTATGTAAGGAAATTGATTATTCTTCTCCAAAAATTATATAAGAAACTTATTTTGCTTTTTAGTCCCAGATTTGACGTACTAAATTATTATCTAATAATTTATTTCACAATGTACAGTAATGACCTATAAATTGAATTAAGTGAGACACACAATATTAAAGTAGTATCGATACAAACATCATGAATATTTTTAGAATAAAAAGGAATCTATAAATTCTTTAGACAGGCATAAAGATTAGTATGCCCTATATACACTTGCTAGTCTTATTCATCATAAATAGAGATTTAAATAGGTTTCTAAAGACAAGCATAGGGATTAGTATTCCCTATACACCCTTGCTTGTGTATTTACTTAATGCACTAATAAAAACAGTGGTGGAGATATTAGTTGTTACATCTCTCTCTCTCTCTCTCTTCGTGTGTGTGTGTGTGTCTTTCTCTCTCTCATAGCCAAGTATCGGTGTACAATTACAAAATAAGTTATTTGAACATCAAAATAAGAGGCCCATGGGGCATTTCGCTTAACTGAGTCACTTTGGCCCTGCAGATTTTTTTTTAAATTTTATTTTAATTTTATAAATATTTTGACCCCTTGTTTTGGATTAAACTTAAGATTTACTGAGTTACGATTTATTAAAAGTTAAATCAACACAACAATGGGATGTTTCAATATCATAGCCATCAACACATAGTCCCGCTGATTTGGAGATTTTTTTCCTGCACAAATGCGTTATATCTCTTATTTCGCCTCAACTTCAACACCAAGGCTTAGTTTAAAATTTCTACTCTAAACATCTTAGATATGTTTTGCTTATTAATAAGATTCAGTGTGATCTCGTGATTCTTTTTAAAAGTGATATATGGAGATAACGAACAGTATTCAAGCCCAAAGTTCATTTTAACAATACAAATCCGGAGCAGAGCATACACGGACCTCCAAAAACATTAGAGGTGGGATCAGGTGCCATGGAGTAGTGAGCATTCCCTGCTGACCTGTCATACCCCCCGTGTGCTCCTTGTCTTGATCGGGGAAAACTAAAAAAATCCGTAGATATTCAGTGTGTAAATAATGGCCTTACAATTAGTATGAAAAACGAAACGTCAGTTAGCATTTTACTTAATGATAGGCTGTACACTGTATTTACTAATTAGGTCATATGCATTGTATCAACCATTTAGAACATTTACTGGAACCCGCTATGTGTCTTTGTTTGTGAGGATTTTTATGGAGTTTTGGAATCCAGTATAGATATAGTAATTCAAATTCATTTTAATTGTTAGAAATATTAAAAATATTTAAAACTGACATATGGTTTTGAAGAATTCCCTCCTTAGAAAGAGAGCTATTAATATTGTATTGCAAAATTCTGATCCCTAATTGTAGCCTAAACCTTTTCTAGAGGACCCTGATATGATGAAGAAATCTGAACTATGTGCTTGCACATCAGTACGCCTTATCATGACTTTGCTGTTCATTTGAGGAAAAAAAATATTATTTATTGATTTGAACAAACTTAATCTACACTACCTGACAATGCTTACACATTAATGATATGGGCAACAATATATATGTGTTTGTGAAACACTGATGCCGAAAGGATTACACTTGTGAAGTATGAAAGCCCTAGCACCAACTGTTCAAAAGTTATGGCCAAGGTTAAAGTTGGGTAGCAAAATTAATTCACACTCCAAGGTCAAAGGGTCAAATATGATGGTACCCAAGGAAAGGTCTTGTCACAAGGACCTTGCCCTCCCGCCAACACCTTCACCCTAACCCTAAGCCTTCGGGTTAGGGTTAAGGTAAGAGGAGCCCTTAAGCCTACCCCTAACACCGTAACCCTTAGGCCCAGCCCTGAGCCTTCAACATAACCCCTTCAACCTAATTCTTACCCTCTTTGAATCCTAGCACAACAGCAATACACATGTGAAATATGAAAGCCATAACTCCAACCAATCAAAAGTTATTGGCAAGGTTAAAGCTTTTGCGGACAAACAGACAGGCAGACGGACAAGGCAAAAACTATATGCCCCGAATATTCGATTACGAGGGCATAAATGACATTGCTGTTATTAAGAAGAATTTTTCCCCTACATATTCCTATGTAAAACTTTGATAGCTTATTGTGACTCCCACCTAACCACAGGGGTCATGATTTTAACATGATTTTGCCAGTGGAGGGTTGCAAATTTAGACCCATACTCGGCGACTCAAGGCCATTGAGCAGTGAGGTATCTTTGTCGTGCCAGCACCTACGCGACATGGGACCTCGGTTTATACGGTCTCATCCAAAGGACTGGTTTCCACGTCCCGCAGTGGGATAAGGACCCGCAACGTAAGGATCAAATCCTTACTCCGCGACTCTAAAGCAAACGTTCTAACAACTGCGCCACGCGGGCGACCATATAAATATGGTAAGAAGATTGATAAGAAGATTTCTAAAGTTTTTTTTTGTATATATTTCTATGTAAATCGCCTTGATAGCAGACATTCTAAGTATTTCTTTTCTGCTAGTTAAATTCTCGTGTGACGCCATAGCTATTTTTCTCGTAGTCGGACACTGTAAATATGAAGCGTTTTTATCATGTTTATGTCTTGTTTGACGAGGTTCTGTGCAATATTGAGGTAAGCTTAACCTTTCGATATTGAGACAATTTACACTAAAATGAAGGAGTTCAATCATAAATTTTAGAATAGAAAAAATTGTCAGGTCACTATTTTCGTACTGAATTAACTACGGCTTTCTTAGTTTACCCAATCAGGACAAAGAGCAGACGGTGGGTGTGACAGGTGGAGAGGGGTTGCTAACTCCACCATGGCACCATATCCCTCTCTGACGTTTCGAGAGGTCCATGTTTGCTCTACTTACTTTTCTATTGTATTTATGAACTTTTGAGCTTGATCTTCATATATCATTGATTGATAGACAGAGCAATATTTCTGATATATCTTAATTAAGTCAAGAAATCTGATTTTTGTAACGTGTTAAGGTATGTAGGGCATATTAATTATATAATTTATAAAATATGGGGGTAAAATGGTTGACTAGATTTTTTTCAGCTCAAGGTCCTGCTCCTCTGATGGCCTTTTAAGCAAGAGAAAGATCAAAATACGGAGTTGAATTTTTTGCGTGAATAAATGGGGGTGGGGGGGCATTTAGGAATCTTCTATCCCCTCCCAAAAAAACCCATCAGAACCAAAGTTACTAAGGTAAGCATTTTTGCCTATGGCCCTCTTGTCTACTAGTCTAAAATGAGGTCATGTATTGATGTGGATAAATGATGGTAGAAAATATATATGTAATAATGTAAAAGAATTTAATGCTGAAAAAAAAATAAAAATATATATATATATATATATATATATATATATATAGATATAGATATAGATATAGATATATACATGTATATATATATATATATATATATATATATATATATATATATATATATATATATATATATATATATATATATATATATATATATATATATATATATATATATATATATATATATATATATATATATCTTTGATCTTTGGTTTTTCAATCAAATGTTTTTCTTTCAAACGTTTAAAAACTAGATTTTTTAAAAAAGTATATAACATTTCAAATATAGAACATAGTATAATTTTGATACTGTATAGATTTAAAGGCATATTTTCTCCGTTAGGATCGCATCCCAACATTGATCGCTGTAGTTTGTTGATACGTTGTAGTTTTAAAGCGACAATTTCTCTGGTAGGATCGCATCCTTACATTAATCACAGTGGATTTTTGATATTATGTAGTTTTTAAAGCTATATTTCTTTGTTAGGATCACATCCTATCACTGACGTACAGTTTGCAGTTTTCATACAAATGAAGAGCATCAAAACCATCACAACAGTCAGAAGGACGGCACCAATCTGAAAAGTTAAAGCGAATCAAACATGAACTGAATGTGCCACATAGCACATCATATATCATTAATATATAGCCAATAAAATTGATAAAAAGAGATATTCTGCTTTTTGAAAAACATGCATTCTTTTTCAGGACACTGTTAACTCAAAACGTATTCTATACTTTCAGAATCCCCAAGGTAAATGAACAGGTATCTATCATATCAATCTGATATTCTGTAATGGCCAAGTCGCTCAACATCTTTACTCGTGAGAAACAGTTCTGAAATGTTAAACAAATACCATAACACAATTATTTTACACATAATCGTGTTGCAAGTTTTCTTTCATGCCTATTAAAAATATTGAATTGAAATTCATTACAGAATGGTGTGACACTTTTGAAATATGAAAAAAAGACAATTTTTGCTCAAATTAAAATCTTGATTTTTTTTTAATTCCGTGGTCATATCAATTATTATCGTATCACACTGTCACTCTGCATCAGATTGATTGGTCCAGTACTCTAGGTACAAAGTGTGAGTTTTTATCTAATTATATAGAAAGGTGTAATTTTTGTTATAGTATTTACATCTCTATACGTTCCGGCATTGACAGTAGCATGACAAATGTCTGGCGCTCTATCGTAGTCATCCACTGTATATGCTTTACAACAAGATTTCGGAATTTGAGAATTCGTCAGTTGACAGGAACCGGACGTTGTACACCAGGGGGTCGTGTCAAAATCATTGGTTGTGCTAACGACTTGATTTACAGCACAACAATCATACTGAATTATGCAAAACAAATTCAGTCAATCAATACACAGTACATTTCCTATTCGGTAATTGACAATGAACTTTAATGGATTTACAACTCCTTGAGATTAAATAAATATCATTTAAAGAACAAATTATTGAATGATGATTACTGCTAAAATCTAATTATCAAAAGACACCATTACAGAAAAAATAAAATGAAAAAGGAAATAAAAATTATACGCATAAATATAATGTGAGTCGAGAAATATTGATAGTATAATATCAGTCCTATCATGAAAAAGCAGCTTTGTTTCGCCTATATAACATTTCACTATCAGCATTAACTGTTTTGAAGATACATTTAAATTGATATACATGTAACATACTTCTAAAGGATGTATGACATAAAAAACTTAAAGATCAAAACCAATCTATGCTGAACACTTTGCCAAAAAAAAAAAAATTGAGTTAAGATGAACATGTATTGACATGGATTATTCCTTCCATTATTAATTCGGCAGGCACAGTCTCGTGTTTTTTATTGGAACTGTCAGAATGCTGATAAAATCATACATGTTTTGAAATGAAAAATATTTCTACGTAAAGGTTATAGGTCTCAAATTGTCTATTCTCTGAGACCTTTATAGGTCTCAAATTGTCTATTCTCTGAGAAGAAAAAAACTGTTGGAGGGCCGTTAGGCCCGACAATAGTTCTTTCTTGTCACAGAATGGACAATTTGAGGCCTATAACCTACTTAAAACATTTACTCTACTGTGTTCATAATGTACTCTCATAGAATTGTTTTTCATTCATTGTATTAAGTAAGCATTGTCTAATTATTGGACTGTCTCAGGTAAAGGTTGTTGACAATCAAAAGAAACTTGCATTCATTGTAATTGTAGTGGACGGTTGTTATTTTTAAATAGCTGAATAAAGAATATTTAACCACAAAGCAAGATATTCAAAAACCATTTTCTTGTGATTGCCAATGTTGAAAGCATGTCTTTTTCCGAGGGGAAAGCATATTTCTGATGCAAATCAAATTCAGATATGATGAGCAATCTACTAATAATATAGATGTCATTTTCAGGGGATATTGTGGATTTTGAGCTTAGGATTGTCAAAATAATGACTTTGAACTCAAAGTGGTCGTTTTTTCAATATTTCTCAACTTTTGACCAAGGCTATTCAAGGATGCAGAAAAACAAAGATTACGTAGAAAGATTTCCGTAATTAAATCAAAAATATTTAGATGATTTAGAAGTGGATTTTCGCAGAAATCAGAGAAATATAAATGGACAGAGACTGTGTTCTTTAATTGACAGAGAGAATGTTACACAGTACCCAACGTTTATGTTTTCATGCTTAAGGACATAACGATGTTGGATGATAAAGAAATCAACAAAATTATCAGCTTTTTCATCGCTGAAGTCAGAAACAAATCAGGCAAAGACTATTGATCAAACACCCTTCAATTCTACAAGAAACGCTGTGCTCCTGCAGAAAGTGAGCAAACTTATTCAGAGTTCTAGTAAGAAAGCAGTAGCGATTGTTCTTGCCAGGAAGGCATTAAGAAGGGAGAAGTGGTATCCCCAAGCGTGTTGTTGGTGCAAGCTACATTCCAATAGATTTCGGAGATATTTCCTTCAAATTTAAGTTTTGACATTCATTGTAATTTGGGATATACATTTCATCATTTATTAGAATTAAATAAATGGAGATAACGAACAGTATTCAAGCTCAAAAGTCCATTAAACAATACAAAATAGGAGCAGAGCAAACACGGACCTCCAAAACATCAGAGGTGGGATCAGATGCTATGGAGGAGTGAGCATCCCCTGCCGACCGGTCACATTCGCCGTGTGCTCCTTGTCATGATCGGGAAATAACGGTAAAATGCAATTACGTAGTTTCAGGTTTTGTTTCTGTGACTTGGAATATATATTTCATTATTACATTGTGAAACATGTTGGATTCATTACTTTAAATATTTATATGTGTCTTTGTTGTGTTTTCTTAATCCAATAATGTATCTGTAGCTGTCCAATAAGTTATTAAATACTGTCCATTATTTTTAATAATGGACAGATTTTTTAACTTATTGGACGGTTACAAGTAACTTAAAGGACTGTCTTGGGCCTTTCCAGAAATAGAAAGTATTAAAAGAACAAAAGATGATGTCATAGTAATGTTTTAAATACTGATAATTTTAACCTTGATGAAGATATTGTTCCAACAGTCGGAAATAGTACTGTCGGTAGTTATTACATCCGAGGCATAATTTTGCAGTGAGTCATTCATTGCACTCTTCAGTTTTCCGTAATCCTGTGGATAAAAAAAAGTAAACGAAGTGTCACACTGTACTAATGAATGAGAAATGCCTTTGAGTGTAATACGTTAAAAACACAGGAATATATCATTGGCTCATAAAAAAAGATAAAATATAAGCTTAAAAAGCACATCCACATATTAAGAAATCGTTAAGGTACCGTATTTGTTTTAGTTCTTTTGGAATCAACCAAACTGTTGTTCTGGAGCAATAGTAGAACAGACAACACTAGGGACTGTATGGCAAGCTATGAAAGATGGGACTGTATTAACAATATTTTAAACCGTGATAAAGAAGATTTCATACCACAGTATGAAATAGATAAATAAGTCTTTATCTGCATAGGATAATGGTATAATGATAAATAATTAAAATTTACCATGAAATAAAAAGCTAAATATCCTGTTCTTTGTCTTGCAGGTGGAAGGAACCAAAAAATCAGGCTCAACGTGAGAAATATGAAATCAAGAACAAAAGCTGATATCCCTATTGCCCAGATTCGTTCGATGTTCTCCTTTGAGTTTTCATATTTACATGACACAGTGAAGTTCAGACGTAGTGATTTCACGGCTTCCTGGAGATCACAAGAGTTGCTAGTTTTCGTAATTCCACACCAAGACACCAACAATATTGCGGCAACCTTGACAAAAATTGATTTTATTTATCTATCCAAATAACGGTTGATTAGAAAAAGACAAATAAGAGATGTTACCATTTGGTACATAATCAATAATAATACATATAAGAAACAAGCATTAAGGTACGCTGATACTCAGGTTCTGAAAATCAGCAGTTACGTAATTGAAAATGTTCACAAATATGTCTTTGAATTCACAAAGTTATGTGTATTTACCCATGATATTTCTTCAAAGTTCATCATTAAATTTAATCATATTACATAAGGAAAATCATTAAATCTCAAATACGTTTTCAGAAAACGTGAATTAAAACACCAGCTATGCATTTTAATTTAAAAAATTGATTAACAAATAAATTTTAAGATTAAAACACACTATTGGTATCCAGGCATTCGGAGAAAATTGCATATATTTTTATACTTATATGGTATTTTAGTTCTTCTATTTACTTCAGTTGTTTTATGATACATAAAGTAAAAGCTTGTGCTATCATTGCAAGACAGTACAGATCACTTCTATTTACACATCATGCTAAAAAGCTTGGTATTTTAAGCTAGATTGAAAGAAATGCGATTTCTCTAAAAATGTACTTATTTTCTACATTTATGGGGTACAAATACCACCATTTTACAAGAATATTTCAAAGACTTCAAAGAACCTTGAATCATTTTGAGATGCATGAAATAAAAACTGTATCGTAAAAAAAATTCAATTTCAAGTTTCATTTTGAGACTTGTTTATTTAAATAATAATTTTAAGAGTAATTGTGTTTGACTGAGGAGCGGATATCCTTAAGTTTATTCTCAAATCAGACCACGCCTATGGTGTTAAAAGCTAAACGTTTTTTATCTGCAAAATTTAATATAGAAATTTTACCAGTGTTGCTCCTGTAAGTATCATCAACGTACAATTTGCTTTTTCATGTGCCTAGACAAAAATAGAAATTTGTCATTCAATTCTTATCATATTGAAATAAAATTGTCTCCGTAACAAATAAGTTAGTATTGCTTTAGTTTATCAAAAGTAGAAATGTATTAAAATCGGACAGAAACCTTGGAATGAAAATATTCCTTGTCTTTAATTATTGGTTTTTTGAGATCATCCTCTTGTGGCACTTTATTTTGCTCCTCCTCTTCTTGCTCCGTTTTTGGATTTTCTTTGTCTGTCATTGTTTTCTGAATGCATATATCAACAAATATATAAATTCATTTGCATGTCAATATATATATAAATTTATTTTAATAATTTTTTCTAATTATTCAAAAATAATAACTGAAATTATGGTAGTATAGCAGTATTTCATAAAGAACTAGTATTTTAAAATGTGTAAGAAAGGGTGAGAAACCTAAGACTAAGAATTAAGAGTACCATGTAGTCTTCAGCTTTGGTATTTTTCATTCATCTTTTCCCGACTTTTCTACCCAGTCTTCTTGCTTCAAAAAATCACAACACCGAAATAAACTCTACCTGTTTCATTTTCAATCTTCAGAAGTTTGACAACATATTGCTTAGTTACACATAAATACAAAATCAACATTCTTACTGTGAGTTCAAAAAGCACTAATATTCATTAACGCATTAGCAAAGTTAATTACGACGTCATGATATAACGTAAGTAATTTAATACGGGAAATTAATTTTTTTCATACAAATAGTACAGATATATATTCAGGGAAAAAGTATATATATGATACAAAATATAATTATGTAATATTGGTGATCTGACAAAGTTCCATATCCTACAGATCAGCCATCCAAATATAACATAACACATGTCTTGTGTGAATATTGTCATTTATTAGATGACAATACATCAAATATTATCATTCTATATAATGATAACAAAAACAATCCAAGGGGAGATCCAGACAATACTGACATCACAAGTTGCTTTTATAAAATCCCTGAATATGACAAAGTGATCTCCCCTGTTACATAACTTTACAAGACTTTGACAAAATAAAATACAACATAAAACTTTTCACCAAACTATCCAAAAATGATATTTTAATATATACAAAACAAAAAAGAGCAGAAACAAAAAAGAACAGCAATGATAATAAATACAAGACAAAAACAGCAGTCCTTGGACGTAATCCATACTTTACTTATCTATATTTACATTCATATAAATTTTAGCAATGCTGCTAACAGTTATACAGGTGAAAGATGGGGAAGGAGGGTGGGTAAGTCAACAAAATTCCTCCTTGTTTACACTAAAATTCGTTGAACCGATGCTATCTAAATATCACGTGATACTGCCTTGCAATATGATTGGATAATTGCTCTTTAACTTTAGGATCTAGCTAAAAACACCAAAGGCTTGAAAAACCTAGCATTACATTAATAACCAAGGCAAGAAAATGGGCATACATATCACAAATTACATAAATGTCATTATTTACAATAATGTTGTATTATGTAATATTGGTGATCTGACAAAGTTCCATATCCTACAGATCAGCCATCCAAATATAACATAACACATGTCTTGTGTGAATATTGTCATTTATTAGATGACAATACATCAAATATTATCATTCTATATAATGATAACAAAAACAATCCAAGGGGAGATCCAGACAATACTGACATCACAAGTTGCTTTTATAAAATCCCTGAATATGACAAAGTGATCTCCCCTGTTACATAACTTTACAAGACTTTGACAAAATAAAATACAACATAAAACTTTTCACCAAACTATCCAAAAATGATATTTTAATATATACAAAACAAAAAAGAGCAGCCACCAAAGGCAAACAGAATGTTTGCAACCCCCACTGTAGCATTTAAAACAGGTTTATATCTGTTAATAAAAAGGTTTTCTTTGGTTTCACGTTCTCTTTCTGCAGCATCCCTTCGAAATTTGTAGAAGGGAAAAACGGTAAAATTGGGACTTTTATTCTTGGCATAGTTTCTAATATGGTAACTGACGGGGGGACACTGGTATTTTGGTCTCCTAATTTGCTGTCGGTGTACGGTCATTCTGTGTCTTAAGGTGTATCCTGTCTGTATCCAGTCTGTATAGGTGTCACCTTTCTGTAATCAAACTCAGACAGGAGACACCTTAAGACACAGAATGACCGTACACCGACAGCAAATTAGGGAACCAAATACCAGAAGAAATTAAAACCAAAAACATTTTTGTTTTCCATGCAAATTAGTGCATTTAATTAATAATAGTAGCAGACCGTCAGGAAAGCGCAGTCGGTAGAGCGCTCGCTCTGTGATCGAAAGGTCGTTGGTTCAAACCCCGGCTACTAAACTTAATTGAAAAAATAGGTAGAAACTGTTCCTTCGCCATGCGTTCGACATTTTGGAGTGAAACTGTGGGTCTTTCGGATGAGATCTTTAAAACCAAGGTCCCTTGTCACGACAGATACGCACGATAAAGATCCCTCACTGCTCAAGGGCCCTAAGTGCCAAGTAAAGGTCTACATTTGAAGCCTATCACTTGTGAGTGAGTGAAAAATTCTCGAATGGGACGAGAAACAACATATAATCCATCCATATAGAAAATTGTATAATGATTGATTGTATGTTGTTTGACGTCCCATTCGAGAATTTTTCACTCATATTGAGACGTCACCATGTACCGGTGATGTGCTTCAAATTTTGACCTTTACTAGGCACTCAGGGCCAATGAGCAGTGAGGGATCTTTATCGTGCAAACGCCTGCCATGACACGGGGCCTTGGTTTTTAAGGTCTCATGTGAACGACCCGCAACTTTCACTTCAAAGTGCCGAGCGCATGGCGAAGAAACAGTTGCTACCCATTTTTTATCGACTTAGGTCAGTCGCGGCCGAGATTCGAACTCACGACCTCCCGATCACGGAGCGAGCGCTCTACCGAATGAGCTACCGTGAACGGTTTGTATAAAGATACATCAAACTCTGTAAAAGATATGAGCTCAATCTACGGAATTTTTTATATCAAACAGATAATTTGCACTCTCTCTTTTCTGTATGAAACAGGTATACGCTTGGAATCTCCCTGAAATCATTTTAAATGTTACAAGCAATCAGAAGCTAGTTAATTAAGTTGCAGGACCCATATTGACAACAGAATGAGTAAAAGTGAAAAAAAAAAAACATTTATGACTTTCAAATGTTAATTATGCGAATAGATTTTGTATTTTGGCTTTTTGATTTGGATAACAGAGACTGGTTGACCAGCAGGCACTCCCATTTAAACAGGCAAGAAATCTAGACAGATTTTATGTTTGTTCGTTAAAAGTCTTTTCGAGAATTGTTCACTCAAATTGAGATGTCACCTCTTGCGGATGGAGGACTGGAAATACAGACCTGTATTCGGCACTTAAGAAGTTTGAGCAGTGAGGGATCTTTTTACAAGTGTAAATCAAAACGTTTTTCCAGAGTTTGATATATTTGCATTTGATTACTAAGAGTGAGAGGATATATTAAACTTTGGAAATACATCTTTGTGATCTTAAGATAATATTGAGACGTATTTTTTGAGGCCATCATTTTCCTCTGAATTTTTTTCGGTTTACAATCAACCGATCCTTATTTTTGAAAATTAAAATAAATATGAAAGTAACCTGATTTGTTTTTACTATTATTATTTGTGCCGAACAGATTTGTTTTCTTTTTTATGAAAAAGGAAACAAATTTATTTTTTTTTTAATAAAAGATAAGCTTAATAAGGTACTTATATGTTGTACATTCGCTGCGTCAGCAATATTAAAGACAAAATAAAATAAATTGTAATGAAATAATATACTCCTTCAAAAAAAGAAACGCATATTAGAATTTTAGTGAGTCATTAAAACATTATGGATACTAAGTAAAATGATATATTGATAACAGAGAAATGCGGTAAACAATAGGTCTATAATCAGAATGTCATAATTGTTTAAGACGTTTTCAATCAAAGACAGTTCAAGGTCATTTTAGATCATTATCTTGTATGTCCACCACAGACACCAATGATAGCCTAGAACTTCATCCCAGTGGACGCTCTAGAGGAATACTAACCAAATCTAAATGTAGAGCTTGAGTCAACTGTTGAAGAGTCTGGGGATGCGGGTTTCTTTTAGAGATATGCTTATCCATTTTATGCAATGCATGATCACTGGGGTACAAACTTGGCGGTTTAGATGGTCAAGGCAGAACAAGATGCTGTGGCCTTGCACGGATGCGCTTGTTAAACGAGTTGTATGAAGCTGTGTATTGTCAGAATGAAATAGGCTTCAGAATGCTGCATTATTAGAAAGACACTTTCCCGTAGGACATCTTTAGAGTATCGTCGTCTCGTCAAAGTCCTTCGAATATGAACCAGATCAGTCCTGCTGGTAAACAATACCGTTGTCCACATCATTTCACTACCAACACAAACTCTATAAACCTCCCGAACGCAGTTTTCTACAAATAATGATTGTTACGAAGATGATGCTCTTCCATCAAGATTTGCTGTAGAATTTTGGACTCGAAGCTAAACCAGGCTGTTCAGTGCTGTTGCTGTGGTCATATTCTATTGACCTGACACTTTTGAAGTCGATATTTGACTGTTGTCGGGTCAGAACAATGTTATGAATAACTCCTCCAGCTCTAAATCCAGGAAGAAGTAGTCAATTGCAAATGGTCTCTTTTGATATTCTGTGCAGTTCAGGGATAGCTAATGCTGTAGACGACGTCATTGTGGAAAGTTGATGAAGATTATGCAAACCAATGAAGCGATCCTGTGATGCTGATGTCAAGCATGGTCTGCCATACCTTTGGCGATCATTTGCAGTAACATACTGTTGGTATCTGTTTTATAGGTGAGATATGGTGCTTTGAGCCACATTAAAACCTGTTGCAACAGTAGACTGTGGTACACCAGATTTCGGTCGCCCAATTTACCGGTACTTTTTGCCATATGTGTCATTCAGATTCAGCATTTTAAAATAACGTCAAAAAATCGAGAAGCCGTGCATTTGATAGACCTTTTGTATCCGAATGATATGGATCATAAATCAACAACAGAAAATTGTTAAAAAGACAAAATTTTAGCATTTTGCAAAATTAGGTCTTTTTGTCTGTGACTTTCGTAGAATGGCTGTCAAGTTGGCAACAGATTTTAAAAAATTTGAATTTTATTTGAAAAAATCATATTCCCTTAAAAATATGTATAGCAAAAAGTATTTGATATTATTCAGCGTATTATTCCTATCATGCGTTTCTTTTTTTTTTAAGAGTATATTAACAAAAACCATTGAAATATTTTTCCATTGCACAAATCATGTTGTAATATCAGAATCACAAGTTGATTGCATCTTGCTTTAATATCCTTAAAACAATGAGTAACTTGATACATTTCGGCACCTTGTTATGGGGATTGACATTCTTTTAAAGTTGCCATACCCCAATTAATATATTATGTCAGAAAGTCTACATCTTTGTGTTTTAATAAACTGTGATTAATGGA